CTTCTGAGAAAAACAGCCTTAAAATTATTGTGTGTGAAGAAAAATACAAGATAGTGTCTTTAGTGCAGAACTCTTCTGTGAGTAACTGCAATGATCTTCTGTGTACAAATCTTCTGCTAGTTCAAAAGGAGTTTAAATTCTCTTTTTGTCTGTTTGCTTCTGCACCACCACCTCCCATTCCTGGAGACAATATTACACCTTGAGGGACAGCTGAAAAGATTTGTGCCAGAAGTGTTTGTGAAAATAATGTTGTTAGTGTCATGTTTATATTAATTGATTGGATAGAAGAGTTAAAGTTTATAAATCTTATAATGACATTTTCTTCTAAAACATCAGCTTAAATAAGGAACTCTTCTAAATGTCCCTCTGAAAAGGATGTTTTTCTTTCCCACCTTTTGTGGCTCTTTTTGTAAAACAAACAAGTTCCACTCAACAACAAACAAGGTTTTCTCCCCTCTGAGTCCCTTTGGTTAGTTAATGACTTTAGAGCAGGGTATCACCTCCTTTTCTCTTCTCTTTAAGTCTGAGTGTAAGAGGAAGAGATGTGTCAGGACAGACACTTGAAATGGAATAGAGTATTTTCTCTTTGAACAGAGATGCTGAATGAAACCATATGAGAAATCCTGTGACATTTACATAATCTGCCAGTAACTCTTACTTTGCCATCAACATAGAACTGTAACACTCACTCATTGAAGGAAAAAAAAAAAAAAAAAAAAAAAAAAAAAAGGAATTTGTGAAGGAGAGCTGTTTCCATGGTACCTAGGTACAGTATTTTCACTGAACCTGGTTGTGTGAGCTGTGGTCTGATTTCTGTAACGGCAAGTCTGAAAGGTGGGCTCCTGTCAGATTCCCCCATGCCTTGAGCTCAGGCCACAACCTGTACCCACTTGTATGCAGATGGCTTCTGGAATCACAAAACCTTGAGAGGCTTGATGACTGGAGACTTAAGTCCTGTGTAAGACTGAGTGATAGGAAATTCCTGTGTTGAAAGTTACAGGAGGAGTAGGTCAGAGTGATACAGTGCAGCTGTGTAACTCCAATGTCTATGGAAAAGGAAAAAAAAAAAAAAAAAAAAGTTGTATTTTTAAACAACTTGAACCCCTGGGAGATTTGGTGGTGTTAGTAGCTCCTCAGAGAAAGGGAAGAGTGGAGGAGAGTTTGCCAGCATTGGTCACAACAGAGAATTTTGATCTGCTCTAGTCTGGCCCTCTGCAAACACAGATGATGTGCACAAGGTTATAAACATTATATGTATAAACATACAAGCTGAGAGTAGCATTGCTGTGTAGAAGGCAAAAATCCCTCAGTTTCAGGATTATTTATATCTGGTTTTGGCCTACCCAGAGTGTCAGTTGCCATGTATCTGAGCAGAAACTTGAAAGAACTTAACTGCTGAAGGTTGATGGGCGGCTTTTTTTTAAAAAAAAAAAAAAAGTGCTGGGATGATTTATCAGTAATAGGGAAGCTTCTGGGGACAGTGTTCCTGCTGTAATACGTGAGCTGTGTTTGTGAGAGCATTTGAACTTTTTACACTCCCTTTAAATAAGGCTCACAGCCTGTGGTTATGCAGTGGATTAATAGTAACAGCTGTGGGCTAACAGAGGATTAAAACTGTCTTAGTGTATGAGAACATCAGTGATAAAATGCATTTGGTATGAAGTCTCCAAAGACTTACAGGATTGTAAATAGTAAATATGTTCCTATGGTGTTTATCTTTTATTTTGTTTGTGACTGCTGAGCTGTTTTCTGAATTTTTGTTTCTGGGTGCCATGAGGTTAATGATATTTTCAGAGATGTGTATGCAAAGAAGTTGTGTGGGATGTACACAGCCTTAAAACATCTCTACGGTGTGTTTTGTTTGCAAGGTTTTGTAACGGTGGAGAATTTCATGCTTTGCAGAGTGAAAAGAAGCAAGCTCGTTACACTCTGTGCTAGTGTGGCTCTATTTCATCATGGATTAATTTGTCTCACCTTTTTTCCTACAGGGATTTGGTAGGGTAGGGAAAGGATTATGAAAGGAAATATGGTAATGTAGTTCAAACTACATTGGAAGTTCAAAAGTATTTTAAAACATTTATTCCAGGCTGTAGTGTTTAGTTTAGGCTATTGAAATCCTGTGTGTGAAGGGAAGTACTGCTAAGATCCAATCAGCCACAAACAGAAAATCATGTAGTGCCTTCCAGGGATAGATGACAAACTGATAAATAATGTTAAAACACATGGGGCAAAGATATTTTAATAGATCTGTTGAGTAAGTAATAAGGTGATAATGAAAAATTACTTCTGTTCATAGATTAGGACAACACATGCTAAATAATTCTGGTATCTGTGACCAAGCATGCACAGAAGCCATCAAGGCTTTATATTTTCTCATATGATTATACAAGCTCTTGGGCTCATATAAGGTCTCTTACAAGTTAAGAGCATGTTCTTTTACCTGATCTTCAAAACTGCTTCTCTCAAAATAAGTTTCAAGCTTTTTGTTTGTAATGTTGTCATACAGATGCCAGCCAGAACTATACAAAGTCTTTCAGTGTTACATACACCCTTTATATTTGTACAGGCTTGTTATATCTAGATAGTGGACCAGAAGAGGGAAGCCTCAAAATCACCTGTGTTGATACAGAATATTTTAAGACTTGCTATGGAGTCACATAAATATATTCAGTTGCTTTGTTTTGACGAACTTGTATTGAATGAAGTGTTATAAGGTATATACTACCAAATTACAACTTGTTTATACTGTTTTTTCATTCATTGATGTTCTTTATAAACCTGTTGTAGGCATGCATCATGTCTGCTGCAACATGTACAGATTAAAAATTTAACTTCAATATATTCACTATTTTGAAATACTACATTCCTCTTGTAAACCAAGTAACCAAGTAATTGGGATACAGTTGGTTGATGGCTAGATAGAAGAATGTATGTGGCTAAAATATTCCCTTTAATAGGGATTTTGCCCCTTATATTTCCTCTTAAAAACTGCAGTTGGCATCTTTTCCACTAATACATCTTGTGTCCCACACAACATCCTTGTCTCTAAATTGGGGAGACATATATTAGATGGATGGATGGATGGATGGATGGATGGATGGATGGACCTCTGAATGGATGAAGAATTGGCTGGATGGTCACACTCAAAGACTTGCAGTCAATGGTTCAGTGTCCAAGTGGAGACCAGGCGAGTGGCGTTCCTCAGGGGTCGGTGTTGGGACAGGCACTGTTTAACATCTTTGTTGAAGACAGGGACAGTGGACTGAGTACACCCCCAGCAAGTTTCCTAATGACACAAAACTGTGTGGTGTGGTTGACATGCTGGAGGGAAGGGAAATGCCATCCAGAGGGACCTGGACAGGCTGGAGAGGTGGGCCTGTGCAAACCTCATGAAGTTCAAGGCCAAGTGCAAGGTTCTGCACATGGGTCAGGGCAATCCTAAGCACAAATACAGGCTGGGCAGTGAGTGAATTGAGAACAGCCCTGGGGGGAAGGACTTGGGGGTGTTAGTGGATGGAAAACTGACTGTGAGCCAGCAATTTGCACTCGCAGCCCAGAAAGCCAACTGTGTCCTGGGCTGCATCAAGAGAAGTGTGGCCAGCAGGTCGAGGGAGGGGATTCTCCTGCTCTCTACTCTGCTCTTGTGAGACTCCACCTGCAGTGCTGTGTTCATCTCTGGGACCCCCAGTGTAAGAAGGACCTGCTCGAGTGGGTCCAGAGGAGGCCACGAAGATGATCAGGGGGCTGGAGCCCCTCCCTTATGAGGCCAGGCTGAGAGAGTTGGGGTGGTTCAGCCTGGAGAAGAGAAGACTTTGGGTAGATGAGACCTTGTAGTGACCTTCCAGTACTTAAAGGGAGCCTACAGGAAAGATGGGGAGGGAATCTATCAGGGAATGTAGGGATAGGACAAGGGGGATAACAGTTTTAAACTGACAGGGGCTAGATTTAGATTAGGTGTAAGGAAGAAATTCCTTATAGGGTGGTAAGACACTGGAACAGGTTCCTGGGAGAGGTTCCTGGCAGTGTTCAAGGCCAGGTTGGATGGGGCTTTGAGCAGCCTGGTCTAATGGAAGGTGTTCCTGCCCATGGCAGGGGGTTGGAACTAGATGGTCTTTAAGGTACCTTCCAACCCAAAGCATTCTATGATGATAGATTGTATAATACATATTGTGTGTATTCATGATAATGTTTCAGAGATGCTCTTCCGAAACACAGCCCTTCCAAAATTTAAAAAAAGCAAACCAATTTTGATCTTTTTCTGCACTTTTAGAGGATTTGCTTTTCCATTTGTGTGCATGGGCAGGTCTTCTCTCTTGAAGTTAGCCTGTATTTACTTTTTATCTCCTGTTAAGATGGGGTTTAGTCATGTCAGTTCAGCATCATCATTTCCAGAAAAGCCAATCATACTGCGTTCTTAGAAGTAAAACTTTGAGAAAAAATTTCATGCTTGCATGCAAATATGTCCTAGCATAAAAAAGAAGGAAAAAGAAAAATTAAAGGAGTGGACAAAATTGGTTTAAGTTTGGGAAGTCAGCTCTGGCAAAGAGAGAGGGGTGGAGCAGAAGTCCAAGTCAAATGAAGGTGTGAGTTTTGTTTTTACTCATTCTCTATGCTTTTTCCTGCTTATGCTTCTGGCCCTAGGGAGGCTTCTGTTGTTGTTTGCTCCTCAACCCCCACAAAATTTATAGAGCTTTCAAATCATATTTCTACAAGATTTGCTTATTATTGCTAGTTGAGCACAAAACCTTTGGGGTATGCTTAAGTGAAAGTTACATGGCAACTGTTGTTTTTATAGCTTATATCCTGATGAGATTTCAGTTATAGTGGTAATCTAGACTAGTTGCAGTCTGGCTGCGGTGGGGAAGAAGCTCACAGCTAGTGTATATCCAGGGTAGTTGAGTAGCATTGTTACAGTATTCTTCAGTATGAGTCTTAAGATCTATGGTTTTTTAATCTCTGTTTCATTCCTTTGCTTTTCAAATAAAATCTGTGTATTACAGGCAAAAGCAGCAAATTAACAATTTACATCAGAAGATAAGGGAGAATGAATTACGAGCTCAACATGCAAGACTGAGCCATCTTGTGAACTGTGAAGAACCTTACGTGACTAATTTACAGGTAGGATGGATATTTTTCTTTCAGCAAAGCTTTCCATTGCCCAGTAACTTACACATGAAAGCATGTTCACAATTTACTGCAGGCCAAAATGTAGAGCTTTTGTGATTATTAATGGTTGTGTAATTGTATAGCCATAAATTATATAGAGGAGATTACCCTGTAAGTGTCATAGTTTACCTTACATTTGCAGAAATCTAAGTTACATTAACATTTTGTACATAGTTGTTTTGAAATGTGATAAGAATGAGAGATTGGGACACTGTAAGAATAAGGGTTTAGCAGCATGCACATAGCACAGTTATACAGGGAGATATTAAGAGATAAATAATTTGATAAGAGAGTACCTGAAAATAACTGATGGAAGGTTTTCTGAAGAAGACAAGGAGATGCTGCCCAAAGGAGTGGTTAGATTGTATCGATAGAGTAGATGGAAGACATGTGAGAAGGCAAACAGACTAGTGGAATACCTGTGCCCAGAATACATAAAAAGATTATGGATTAGTATTCCTAAGAAACACTTAGTCTGAAACGGAATGTGTGGTGGTATTTTGGGCATATTTGTCCTAATTTTTATCTAACTAGCACAAATACTTGAAAGTGTGAGGATGAGGTGGCATAGGCTGACCACAAAACACAGATCAGTTTGAGGACTGTGTGTGCTGCAATAGGGTAGCAGTCAAATTCCTTCTCCAGAGCTCAGCGTATCTAAAAGGCAATGCAGGAAGAGAAGGTTAAAGGCAGATATGCAGAGAAATAGCTGTTCTGTCCCCCTTTTATTACCTTATCTTTTCCTGTCACAAGCACTGCATCAGGATCTCAGCTGATACTTCAGCATGACATTAATTATGTCCTTGGAATAACACAGCTGTGCATCAGGTGAGAACCTGGTTTGTGTGAGACAGGAGAGAAATTCACATGGAGTCTCAGTGTGAAGTTAGATATTCAGGAACTTTTTCAGACACCTAGGAATGTGGCTTTTGATGCTTTCAGGAGATTTTTATAAAGTACTTTAAAATTCTGTATAGATGAAGATTTTTTTTGGGGGAAAAAATATTGCAAAAACTGAAATTTTAGTGCATGTATCTTAGTGTAGCATAGTGCAGTTCAAATAAAGCAGCAGATGCATTCATCTTTCAAAATTTAAAGAGTTAAAGTTTATAATGTATTAGGATTTTTGCATGATTTGTGTGCCTTCTATAAGATTAACTTACAAATGCAAATCTTCTTTAGTGGAGGTTTTAATCTCTTTTAATGCTCTGCTGAAGGAATTTTACTAGTTAAAAATACTGTCTGTATAATTCCTTTAAAGTTACTAGTTCATGTTATTAAAAGAATCTTGAAACTGAAAACCTGATGGGATGCATCTCCTTTTTCATCCCACATGCAGTTGATTTCCATTTTGTACTTGTCTGTCTGTGGACAGTGGAGGTAGAAGAGGAATATTGAACGGCATGAAATGGGAAGGGAAGAGGGTTTTGGTATACAGGACAGAATGTAGGAGGCCAGAATGTAGGAGGCCTGCCTTCTGATTGTAGCTGCAGTCTCAGGCTTGTCCCTGCACCATTGGGTAGCTCAAGTGTGATAGCTCTAAGGTCAGACTAGTACTAATGTTCCGCTTTAGAAGGATCTTGAGATTGGAGCATCTTTTACTTCAGTATATTTGTAGCCATCTTATAGAGTGTTTTTCTTCCTAGGCAATGGTATATTAAAGCGGTGACAGTGATTTGTTTTGAAAACACTTTTTGTTTGGATTTTCTGGAGTTTCTTTGCAAGAAAAGTCACACCCCTTCCATAAATCTGAAGGGGAAAGTGGCCCCACAGTGTTCATTTGCATGTGTTGTGAATGTAAAGCTGTCCAGCGTCTTCATCTTTTTCTTCCAGATTCACAAAATGCAAGCTGTTACCACATACTTTAATGTTTGAAAAATCGAACCCCACCCTTCCTGACAGTGGAAAAAAAATGCACGACTGTTTTCTGCTGTTCTGCTCAAGTATACAGTGATATGTGTCCATTCATTTCTATGATTATTTTATTTCTTTTTGTAAGCAACCACAGTATGAGAGCACACCACTCCAACCTCATGTTTCAGAAAGATCAACATCCCACCTTGAGGAGCTTGAGCGAAAGGTTGCAGCAGCTGAGAATAAAGAATTACAACTCAGTGAATTTGTAAAACAAATTTCAAACAAATCTAGTGAGGAGAAAAAGAAGATGGAGGAGAAAGTAAGTGTCTTTTGTGTTCCAAGTTTCTTTTTGACATTGTTATAGCAATGTATGTTTTGTTTTCAAGAAAGCAACTTAGTATGTGGATTGCAAAGCTATTTTCAAAAGGTGGCTAAATTGTCTGTGATAGAAAAATGGGTAGTTAGTGATTGTAGGTGTTGGCAATGGATAAATCTGAACTTGTAGTGAATGCATCCTAAAACGTAATACTAGATGAAATAACAAACAAAATGATGGTTTTAATCAGGTTATCAGTTAAACTTGCTTTGAAGGAAAGCTGCCCAGCTCTAAGAATTTATGTAGCGTGAAGTGTTTATTACAGTAAATAAAGTATCATTTAAAAACATAAAGTGTGAAAATGAAATCCCGATTTTTGTCATGGCTCGTAAATGCAGGCCTCATGCCTTGAGAGGTACTTACAAGCCTGTATGTGCCTATTCAGCAGCAGCAATTGTCTTGTAGATTTGCTAGGATATGCAGAGTAGACTTTATTCTGAGACAAGGAAGGGGCTTAGATGACTGTGTTCTTGGAACTGTCTTGACAAAGGATTTCTTTGGAGGCTGAAGCAGTACCCAGGGGTAGTTTGAATGTCTTGACAGCCTTCCTTTATTGCAAGCAGAAATGTGCCATTGACCAAGTGGTTCCTAATTAATGCTTTAGGGATACATTGTTACTGTTATCTTCCTCTTTGATTACTAGGCTTTACTACTGGGCTTAGATTTATATTAATGCAGGTTCAAGGATTAGGAGCAGTATGATACAGTGAAGTGTTAGGTGAGAAGATGAAGAAGAAACCAGAATTCATCTCAGATTCTGCCTTACCATTTCATATGAACCATACAGTATGCTTTTCACTAAGGGTAATGTTCAGGAAGGGCAGAATTAACCTGCTGCTGCTGCTTCCTCCTGTCTCAGTTTTTACTGCTTGTGTTCCTCACTGTGTAGGAACTGCTGCTGTAGGTGGTGGCAGTGGTGAGGACCTGTGCAGCAGTGCTTGTGTCAGCAGAATGGTCTGTAACTAGGAGCCTGATTGACCCCTTAACACCCATCCATTCTGTGTGTTCAACAAAAGGCTCTCAAGGAGAGAAAGGGTAGGGAGGGAGAGTGTGTGTTTCTGTAATAAAATTAGTGCCGTTCTGTTTGAGGGAAGACTGTGGAGGGAGAATGGAGTTGTGCTGTGTTCCTGCAGGGATACGACAGTCTGGGAACCCAAGCAGTAGGCTGCATGCTGAGCCTGGGGACATCTCTGCAGTTCCTCTGCTGTGCTCACAGGGAGATCAGCCCAGAGCCTAAAGGTGTGGTTTCCTGGGTCAGTGACTGATGTTAGGGGACAAAAATACAATTTCTGTACTGATCAAAGGGATTGTTGCCAATAGGTGTGCCAGGGTTATTTCTGAGCAAACGCCTGCCTCTTTGGAGTGAGTGTTTTTTCAGCCCAAAGCCAGATTTGGTGAGGGAGTGGGAAAAATGCTCTTAACATTCAGGTGAGCTTTGCTTGTAAGTCTATGCTAAAAGAACATGAAGAAGTTTAGATTAAGGTTGCTGGCATACATTTCTACTTCTGTCTGCAACAAAGCAGACGTCCATCAGAAAATCACGGGAGGAATGGTTAAATATTTGCACTGGAAACGAAGTGTCTGAAGGGGAGTGTGATTGAATCTGCAGAGCCACAAGCAGCCTGGAAGGGACAAAGGACAGTCAGCTCCTGCTGCAGGAGCAAGGGAACATCTAGAAGAGCTCTAGGAGCCAAGTACACGATCAACAAAAGGAGCTGATTCCTCATGCCGGTTCTCTATAGCAAACCTGTAGATCGTTTCTCTGAAAGCTGTTGTGGATGCTAAGAGTATATAGGTGGACTCAAGGGAAAATGGGTGAGCTGACGGAAGTGCTGTCTTGTTATAAATGCACAGAAATAACTGCTTCAGGAGAGCCCCTAAGATGAAAGCAGCTGCAAGCTATAAAAGTGTGCTTTCCTTTTTTTTTTCCCTACTGTAGACATTTGCTTATGTCTGGTGTGGGTGATGAGATGTTGGGAGTAGAAGTCCTCTTGTTCTGAAGTACTTTGTGCCTTCTGGCATTAGGGTGAATGTATGTGATGTTTTCCTTTTGAGAAACTGCAGGGCCAGCAGAGAACAAAGGTGTTCTTCGTTTGCTGCTGGCATCATAACTGTCTTTGCCCCATGCAGACATACCAAGCAAGGGGATATTTGTACCACCTTCTGTATAATCCTGGTGCCTGAAGAGAAGGGATTTTTTCCCTTAGGCTCCATGTGTAGAGTATAGGACTGAGATGAAGACTAAGGTGGTTGGGAGCTCTTTATCTGGCACTGAAACTTAAGAAGGCTGAAGGAGCTTCACTGTTATGGATGGCTGGTAGTCATGGTAGCTCCTCATAGCTTCCTAGCTGAGAGAGCCTGCTAAGGTAGATACTGCAGTACTCTCCATCAGTGTCGACGTTATGAATGCCTACATTCTTCCTTTTCCTTATGCCAGGCATGAATGTGCCTCTTGGCATCTGCAGATGTTGCAGCCCTTAATTTAGTTCTGAGGCATTTCATCTGGAAATTGGGCTGCTGGGCTGGAAATGCTTTGGTTCAGACACCCATACCCTGCTGGCTGCTCCTTCTCCCTCTGCTATGGATAACTCTGAAGGACTCTTGTAAGATACTGCTGATAGCTTGTAGTAGTGGTGTCCCCTATGATTTTGTGGCTTAGCTTTTAATATTTAATTGCCAAGAGATGAGAGCTTTCCTTTTTTACCTGTCCCAATGAAGTCATCAGCAGTGTGTCTATGAAGGAGGAAATGGGGGGGGGGAACCCCAAACCCAACCAGAATTCAAAGCTTGTTTCCCCTCAGCAGAGTCAGCAAGAGTGAATGAAAAAAAAAACCCACATTTTTTTTCATCTCACCAACAGAAAGTAGGAGGAGTTCTCAGGGTGATGCTGGGGATTTAGAGAGGGCAGGAGAAATCCCAAGACAAACACAGTAGCTATTAGAAAGAGAGAGGTTGCAGGAGGGGAAATTCCCTATGGTGTACACGCAGGATAAGAAGATTTGGAAATCATGTAATCTTTGTTGCACAAGTACTGGAGTATTCTGACTGGTCGACTTGTCTTTGAGAAACAAGGGAAGGGATTCACTTAGATAGTTAACCTTCAGACTCCTGGAAGTTCTTACTGTGTAACACTGGCTTACATGTGCATCTTTATGTCACTGCCTTTAAGGCTTGGGTTGTGGGGGGGAGTATGTGGTTCTGAATCACATAAAAAGTGGCAAAAGATCATGGCAGAGTTGCAACTTTGCCTTACTGAATGTGGGGTTTACTTGGGCTTTATCTAATCAGAAAGATTTTAAAGCAGCCTGAAAGCTTTGTTCAGTTTTGAGGTCTTGACAAAATAAAAGATATAAAGATTTCTGATCTTGTGGCAATCCTGAGTTTTGTGGCCCATACAGAAAATAAAAACTTTCAAGATATCATTGACTTAAACTTTTCAGGAGGCTCTGTTACTCAGCTCTGACATTGGCAGTGTCATACATTTATTTCTCAGTGAGATGGATGTCTGTAGCATGGAAATAAAAGTACATTTAGCATTTACTCTAGTGACAAGTATTTGTTATCTGTGAATTACTACACCTTAGTTCAAGCAATAGAGATATGTTTTTCATTAAATTGGCCTATGACTGGAAAATACTCTTCTTGCTGCCTTCATGCTTTTTTTGACCTAGGTAATAAAGCAAAGTATGTGCCAGGAATGCAAGCAAAGATAACACAATATCAAAAACCTATTTCAGGCTGATGGGCAATTAAGATGCCTTTAGAAAAGGTGTTTAGGAAAGCCACTATTCTGTTTTGATGTCCTCTGATGTAATTTTCAGACTCCATCAGAGTCAGGTTTTTAGCTCCAGTTCTTGTTGGGCTAAGTTCTTGGTCCCTGTGTTTTGTTTTCCTAGACCAGAGGAAGAAGTTGGACTGAAATATTTCCTGATCATTTATTGCACATGAACATCACCATTGGTGAAAACAAAAAAAACAAACCGAACCAAAACAAACAAAAAAAAAACCCCACAAAAAACCACACAAAAAAAAAAGAATATTTTTTTGTTGAACTATTTGTGTTTTCAGTTTGCAGGCATATGAAGTGTTCTGGGCAGGGGTGAAGCAACTGTGGTTTGAGGTCATGTGTGGGTCTATGACTTGGAGCTGCTGGGATTAATTATTCTTTTGTTTTGTTTTCTGCAGTAACAAACGCTTTCAAGCAATTGAGAGTACGGTTCATGAAGAGTGACCAACCTCTGCTTCCAAAGCAGGTTTATTTTTCACTGTAATCATAAAACATGTACTTTTACTTTCTTCTAGCTTAAAACTAGAGACCGATATATTAATAGCCTGAAAAAGAAATGCCAGAAAGAGTCTGAGCAAAACAAAGAAAAACAAAGACGAATTGAAACATTAGAAAAATATTTGGCTGACCTACCAACTCTGGATGATATAGAAGGGCAGACTAAACAGGTAAGGTAAAGGAAGTTTGTTTTACATTTACATTTACAAGCTCCCTAATACCTGTTGTCAAATCTTTTACAGTTTCAACATCTATTTTTTTCCCCTATCTGTTTAGGAAGACAAGTATTTCAATGTTTTAGAAAGCACTGTAGCTATTAGAGAGACTCAGATAAGTGAAATGAGTCTAAGATTATACAGAAGGTAACTGTAAGGCTGTGGCCTGCTGCCAGGCCTTCTGCTAATGTGGCATCATGTCTGACTAATGTAACCTGTGTTAGCTGCAAATTCTAGAAGAGAAGAACAAGCAACTTCAAGAAGCTATGACTGAGTTAGAAAAAAAGCTTGGAGAGGCCCGATCACAGTGCAGAGACAGAGAATTGCAACTGGTGTGTCAGAAGAAAAAAGAAAAAGAGCTGGTCACCACGGTGCAGAGGTATGAACAGCTGCTTGGGCTGTGCCCTGAAATGGGTGTACTTTCCCACCTGATGTTGAGACCTAATGTTCTTTTCACTCTTAATCTCTTACAACGATAATGATTTTTCATGGCATAAATATATTACTGTGCGGAATGATGGTGTAATGCAATAGAAAATCCAACAAGATTTTTATTTGTGTCAAGTTGCCAGTAATTCCACAGAGAAGAGTCTGCCTACAACACTCTTCACTATCTTTCTTTAAAGATGTGGGACACCACTACAATGGCATCACAGCCTGCTGTTGCTGGATAGAGGATAGAATAAACATGTGCAGCAAAGGGGGATTGTACAGAAGCTGTCAGCACTCATATTTGATAACTAATCCTGTCACGAGCTGTGGAAAAGCTCCCTGGATATTGGCTGAGGGGTATATCAGGGAAGGGTCAAAGATTTATTTAAATCTTACCGTTTCATGGAGGGTGGGGGTGTTTTCAGGGAGATTTAGCTGTAGCTCATGTACTGTTATTTAACTTGCATAACTATGGAAAATCATATGGGACATTAGAAGATTCCAGATGGGACATGGAGACGTTATTACTATGGTGCATTTTAGATGAGGGGAGGCACTTAAACACTTTTTTTTTTTTTAAAAAAAAAAGGGGGGGAGGGGGAAAGCAGGGTGGAATCACTTTTAATAATTTATGTGGATGTTACTGCAGTTCACTGTCCCTCCATTGGGTAAAGGTGCATGCCACAGAAGTCTGAAAGTGTTTCCATGATGAAAGGCAAGCTGGTTAGGACACCTTGGCAGACAAATTGTTGACGCATTGTTTCCATCTTACCAATGAAAGGCCTTTTTTCTTCATGCCCTCATAATTTAAAGGGGGATCATTTTGTCTTTTCTGAAAGCCTACAAATAATTGAGGTGGCTCCTAGTTTCTAAATTAGACAGCAAGATTAACACTAATAAAATGTATTTCCTTTCTAGGAGAAGGTGAGCAGGGAAAGGCTCTAGCTATACCTAGAAGCTTGAGTTGAGCTACAGAGGGTCTGAAGGTCATGCCCTCCTGGGAGTAGCTGGCATGAGTGGCTTTCTGCTCCCCCTTACAAGTCATAGAGGGCATGAAGGATAGGTGTCTGGTTTAACTCCATCAAGCAACTAAGCCCCATGCAGCCACCTTCTCACTCCTCCCCCTTCCCAGTGGGATGGGGAGGAGAATTGGGAAAAAAAAAAGTAAAACTCACGGGTTGAGATAAGAGCAGTTAATAACCAAGTAAAATAAAATAACAATAATAATAATAAAATATAGTAATGAAAAAGAATGTAACAGGGAGAAATAAAACCCAAGAAAATAGAAGTGATGGACAGTGCAGTTGCTCACCCCCTGCTGACCTATGGCTGAGCAGCCATCTACACCTTCTGGCCAACTCCCCCGTTTATATACTGAGCGTGACGTTCTGTGGTACGGGATAACCTTTTGGCTAGTTGGGGTCAGCTGTCCTGGCTGTGCTCCCTCACAGCTTCTTGTACATGCTTGCTGGCAGAGCATGGGAAACTGAAAAATCCTTAATTTAGAATAAGCTCTACTTATCAAAACAATAGTGTGTTATCAACATTATTCTCACACTAAATCCAAAACACAGCACCATACCAGCTACTAGGAAGAAAATTAAATCTATCCTAGCCAAAACCAGGATAATAGGTCACCAGTACTCAGTGCAGCCTCCAATTCTGGACTCTGCTTTGAGTTGTACATGGCCCAGTGAGCCTGATTTTAAAGCTCCTGTAACTTTGAGAGGTCTGAAGACTCCTCTCATCTATGCTGGTGCTGGTTTTGCCTCCCACAGTAGCACAGAGCAGCTGTGAACACCACAAAGCTTTTCTTTGCTACTGTCTGCCCTCTCTCCCTACGCTGTACTGCTGGAGCTGTGCCTTTTAGGAGATACAGCACAGAATCTGTCCCTTAAAACCATTCCTGCATGGATCTGTTCTTGTCAGTGTCATGGTAACTTCAGTAGTTTAGGATTTTTGCATCATTCATCTACAGCTCATTTGTAAGGCTGGATTCTTCTAGGTACGGTTTTACAGTTCTGGTGGTACAACTTTATAATTTTTCACTGGAATACACAACTCTTCTGATTTCTGTCAGTGCACTTAATTTTTCTTTCATGTTGAATGGCAGTTTACAACAGAAAGTAGAAAAATGCCTGGAAGATGGTATTCGCCTTCCCATGTTGGACACAAAACAGCTTCAGAGTGAGAATGAATGTCTCAAAGAAAAGAATGAGAAAGCCAGTAAGGTTAGTCTGCAAATGATCTGTTGGTGGAATCTTTAATGTTGAGTCTTGCATTTCTTTTTTCTTTTTACTTTAAAAATAAATATCTCACTAAAGAATTACACATTTGTTGCTAATTCAGATTGCTTTTCAGTAGCCATTTCTGTTCAGTACATGTGTTTTACATGAATTGCCCGTTCTGTCAGAGTTAAATTCTGTCCTGTCACTTATATTTTCAAAGATTCCATTTAAATTCTATGGCTGCACACCTGTAAGCTGATTCTTTTAAAAAGATCTGAAAAGGTTCAAGTCTTTTAAATGACTCAATTTTATATTCTAGGTCATAGACAATCAACAAAATCAGATAGCTGGACTGATTTTAGACATGCAGGTAAGGAAGAGTGTAAATTTTGTTGTTTACTTTTTACATTTTTAGTCCATAAAATTAACATCATTAAAGTTGAATTTCATCCTTTTATCTTCCCAAATAGGAGGCAAAGTTAGAAATGCCAAGAACTTAATCTTATGGCCTGTAGTTGACTTGTGTTCTCTTGCAGGCTCATAATATATTGGTTACTGATGTTTGTATGGTTTAAGCACTGCGCTGGTACTCATCATAAAATGAAAAACTGTTGCACGTAGCATCCTTGCGCTGCTGATCTAGTGGATGTCATATCAGAACTGCTTATTTCAAGGGTGAGGACTGTCTGTGTAAGTAACAGTGAAGCCTCCCATCCAGCTTTGGGGTTCAGGTGACCATCCAAAGTACAAACAGTGATACTGATTAGGCGCTTCACTGCCGAGATCCTTAGTAGAGACAGGTGCCTTTCTAAACTGTACCACTTCACATTTCACATTGTTTAAGCAGTTCCCTCTTCAGGTGGTTTCTAACACATCACTCACTTAGATATCTTAACTCTCTTGGTGGATTTTGGGCACCTGACTTGGAGCCAAGGATTTTTCAAGACAGCAGAGGTTGTCAAATTGGAGTCAGTTGCAGCTCTGTGGATTGGATTAACACAATCGGGCTCCTGAGACTTGGAAGTTACTTAGTGACCAGTGTTTGTTGTGGAGAAAAGGAAACATTATACAAGTTATAGGGAAGAAGGCATGACTTGCTTTAGAAAAAGCGTTTATGAAAACAAACAAACCTGTTTTCAGCGCATACTGAAGCCAAATTCAATAAATTCTAGTTTCTGCATTCTTGTCCTAAATTGGCATTTGTCTCTACATTTTTTGCTTCCTTGCCCTCCAGAGAGACTGAAGTTACAGGGTTGTCCCTTGAGAATGAAGAAGTTGCTCTGCTTTAGCTCTGTATACATTAGGTTTGGAAGAAGGACAGGATGGTAGTAAGCAATCAGCAGAATGCTCCCTTCACAGTGGAGGGGAGTACTCTATGGAGCTAGAGCAGCTTCTTTGTATCCTTGATCTCGGTGGCCCTCTCCATTTCTTCATTGGAAAGCATTGAACATCAGTTCATTAGAAATTCAAATCTCTGATCAGCACAGAGATACAATTTATCTTTAGCTCGCAAGATCTCATTTTATTCCTTGTCTGCTGCCACATTGTAAATTTCTGCTTGAGAGTGTATTTCAGTTCATTGATTTTAACTTGAAAGCTGGAAACAAAGACATTTTATTTCAAACAGCAGTGTACTAAGCAGTACGAGTTTCTATTCACTCATAATCGTGGTAGAATGATTTTGATCTTCCTTATATGGTTTTGCTTGGTTGATTTGTTCCCTTGAGTGTAAGGGAGTAAAATACTGGTTGATCTTGACAAGATGTCATGCTGCATATAGAGCAGATCTTCAGAAAGAAAAGTTATAGATTAGTGGTGTTTAAAAAAAAAATATCTGTATTTACATGATTAATTTAGATATCACAATTAACATTTTTTTGTACCAAAAGAAGACAGTAGAAGTAAGTCAGATTGTACAATGCATGTGTTACCCAAAGTATATCTGTCAGTCCTGTCAGTCACAATAAACCCAAACTGTGCCAGGCTGGGAGTAACGCCACCAAATTGTAACTTTGGAGAACATATGGAAAAATTAAGGGTGAAGTATGGAGGACTCATAGCACTATGAGCAACTGGGAAATCACAGCACTATGGGCTTAGCCAAGCTGGTAAGCACATGTGCTTTTTCTGAGCTTTAAGATTAGGGTAGCAGATGTTAGGTGTATCTTTTAGAAATAAACACTGATTTCCACTTCTAGTAGTTCGCATTAAATAGTGCAATTCATGAGGTGAACATGTGCACATTTGAAATACTCTAGAAGTTGTTTTTGGAGTAGTTTGCAGAGTTATGTAAATTTAATGGCAAATGTAGTTCTGAAAATACACTAGGGAAGGTAATATCTCTGAACCTGTCTTCTCTACCAGCTACCCCCATCCTCAGGAAGGCTGCACAGTCAAACATTTAATGTCTGGCATTGACACAAACATGAAATAATGTAAGTGGTCGTACTAATCCATGTGTCACAACTGCAGCGCTGGGTATCCCTGAACTTGCTTATCATCAGACTACTAAACTCTGAAGATACTTGGAAGCTGGGAGGGGGTTTGGGACACTTGAACTGCTCTGTTCTCCTCATCTTTCCTAAGTATTTTCTGTTTGGCTGCTGCCACAGACAGAGCTAGAGGCACCTTCACTCTGACCCAATATGGCCATTTCTCTCAGTAATGTGTTTAAAAGACCGAAGAAGATGACTGAACACCACTGCAGGTTTTCCTCATCTGCAAGCACGACAAAGGAAATGCCTGGAGTAGAGCTATTTCCTGCCCTCTCCTGGCCCAGGGTGCTTCCTTTGACGTGGGGCAGGGCCCTCTTTCCTCCTCCCCTTCCTCCCTCTGGAGTGTGAAGCTGTGCTTTCTCGCACAGCTTATCTTCCGGATGCATGTTAATTCAGCACTTCCTTCTGAGGGGCACGATGTGGGTAAACTGAGAAGCAGATCAAGTGTGTGAAAATGGTTTTAAAACCAAGTAGTCATTTCTGGGTTCTGCCTGCTGATTCTTTTTACTTACAGGAAAAGAGTGTGGGTTTTTTTAGTCCCTATTAAGTGTGTAAATTTTAGCACCATTGTTTTCCAGTTTTGCAAAGCATATGACAAAAGTACTGGCTTTCCCTCACCACTTGTGTGGTGTTGAGCTGAATGTGTTGGGAAATTCTGTCAAGGCTGTGCACCTCCTATGAGTGGCCAGGCCATTGAAAACTCCACTGAGTGTCAACCCTGCCTTGCCTCTCATTAGTCCCTGCCTTCTCCTCAGCATTAGTAATTCTTATAGCTGTCAAGTCAATTAAATGGTTCTCATCCACTCTGTAGGCCACGTACATGGTAAAGGACAGGCCCGTATACAGACACAGTCTCCTGTGTGCTACAGTCTCTGGTACTAGTACCCTGAAAGTTCTATTCTTCATACATCTTAGGAAAAACTCTCACAAGAGTAAATTTGGCTTCTTTTCCAAAGCTAAGTTGTTTTTTTTTTTCTGATGACTGCAAAACCAACATAACAGAACCAACAGCAAATTGTGTCGAGGTAACTGGGGAGCTTGGTTTTTTTTCTGTCTTTGAATAGGGTTGCAGAGTCATAGTGCAGCAATTTAAACATATCTTTTACTAAAGAGTGACTTTGATCTTTCTATAGCATTTTATTTAAACTACCTTATAGAATTCCCCATGAGAGTTATCTGCTTTAGAAGAATAATATTTAGGGTTGTTACTACAGAGATTCAAGAAAAAAAACATTCTTCTGGGACAATGTTATTCCATAAATTGAGAGCCATTGGTTTGTGAAATGTTCCTCCTTCTCCCCCCATCATGATCTCTGGTTCCACTCTGTTGAAGGTTGCAATCAAAACTGTGCCAAGGCATGCACCGTTGTTACCAGTGCTCCAGCTGTACTTTGAGCATGCTGGGATCGGATTTGCATCTTATAATTGAAATTGGGCAGCAGGTTTTACATACCAACGTGGTGAGCTAGGGATGGAGAGACACTTTATATGCACTGTGCTAGCACAGTATTGGATTTGTGAGTAACACCATTAATGACAAAAGAGGATATTTTCTTCACAAAAGCTGAAAAGATCTCTGTGTTTTAAAGCATGATAAGTTTATATAGTCACTATTAATTGTTATTAGTATTCAGATAAGATGGTTTGAATATTCCTTGTTCTGAATTTTGCCAGATGACCTCAAAAGATATATCTAGAGATCTAAAAGCAAACTAGTAGAATAAATATGAATGCTTTTAACAACAAAAGCACCCGTGGTTATGCTAAATTCACTTCAAAAAATCCACTTTGGAAATATCTCCTGATTTCTGAGGGGAAACTCCGGGCTTGAGAGCGGCTGATTCCATGTTGCAGCAGTTGTTTGTTTGTTACTGCTTGTGACTAATCTGGAAGTCAGTCATGCAAAGCTCCAATACAACAGCATCCTAGAAATTTGCTGTTTAAATTGCTGAAAATAGTAGTTATTGTATCTGTTAAAAATGACACTATAAACTGCAAATAAACTACTTTTTTTTTTGCCTGTAGTTGTTGTTTTCTTAGTACAGTAGAGTTTTGTAGACTGTTCTGTTCCATTTTGTCTGTGAATGGTTTTAAAAAGGTTGCTGCTCTGTAACAACAAAGGCTCTCTTCTCAGCTGTATGGAAGGTGAGGTGAATTCTGTGTTGTAAAAGGTTGTAGGAAGTCTAGACATAGTCTTTGTGGAAAGTAGAGTCCAAAAAAAAAATCTTCAGTTATAACATGGAATTGCACAAATTAAGCTTAGTTATAATTCTGCTGCTTATTTCAAAAGAAAGAGAAATTGGTTAGAATAAACAAAATTGCATGGTTATTTTAGACTTCATGCATTCCCTATTGGAGTAAGGTTTTGCATACATGCAATCTTTTTGTTTCTAAACAGATACTGATTATTTAAAGGGCTGCACTGATACTTGGAATGCCTGTGTTAATGTACAGAGAGCTGTTGGCATCCACCTGAATATTACCAGGTGGAACATGATATAAAATTAAAAAAATGAAGAATCAATACAAAAGCAATAAGTAACTAAAACTTAGAAATTTACTGAGGATGCATTTTTTTTTATCAGTGCTAATATAAAGTATAAAAATTTAAAATCATTACCTGTGTTTTCATTCACTTTAGTCTATGCAAGAGAAGCTTTTGCAAGAAAAGCTGATAGTTCAGAAGATGACAAATGAACTTGAAGAAAAAGAAAAGAATATAGAACAGTTAAATAAAACTCTCTCTGAAGTAAGTAAAAGTTCCAGTAACACAACCCCTGACCACACTTGGCTGGGAAGAACCTTATAGAATCGTTATGAGATCCCATGGTAGGACTGTATGAGCTTAATTACATATTTGACAGTTGACTGCTGTGCAGACACATAATAGATACCATCCGTACCTCAAGAAGTGAGAACTTCAAGGGTGAACGCGGCTAATCAATAGTAACCTGAAATGGATGACCATGTAAAAGCTGTCTGTCTGCCACTCTTTGGAGGGATACAGAAATACTGATTACATGTATGGAAATTAATTATTTTTAGTGATATTGTTTATGGTTTGAAACAGGAAACTTTCTGCTACAGTGCATGCTGCAGACTAACTTCCCCTTCTTCCCATTTACTTCTCACAAAGAACCAAAGACTGATGGAAGAGAATGCCTGCCTGAAGGAGCAGATGCGGCAGGTGGAGCAGTCCAGGCAGCCAGTATCTGAGAAGATGCCTATAGCAGACCAGTTGTTCAAGGAAATGTCCCATTGCTTGTTTGACTTGAAAGCACTGTGCAGTATTCTTACCCAGAGAGCTCAGGGCAAGGAGCCTAACCTTTCCTTACTGCTGGGAATCAGATGTAAGTGATATTGTCTTTCCAATGCTAATAGTGTTTTGACACAGAGGAGTAACAGTTTAGCAAAAGTAGTGCTTGTTGCCAGCTGGACAGGCCAGTGTCCCCCTGGCTTTGCAACTGGAGCAGTCGTGGGTGGATTGTACTACTGGAGCTCTCTGGAAAAGCTGGGCTTTTAGTGCACCTGGGCCACTAAACATGTACACAAGGACAGAGGTCCTTGCCAAGTCAGGAGAGCAAGTAGCTGGCTCTTCATATGGACCCAATCATGGATATGTTCACCCAACTAGAAAAGAAAGGTGTGTAGCCACATGTCCATCCCTCCTAAATCACCCTGAGGGTTAACGGATGCTTTTCTATCCAACATATTCTGCCCTATAAACTCATAATGAGGGAGGTGAGGCATAAGCAGGCCTGGGGTGGCTGCGTCATGTGCTTTTGTTTTAAAGCCTTTGGGGTCAAGTGGTAAGAATATACATCTACTGTTTGAACGTGTATGTCTGGTGGGTGGGTGGGTCTGTGTGTATTAGATGTCTAGTGCCAGGCAACTTTATCTCTGGTACTATTAATGGCACATCTAGTCTTCACCACTTACTTTAGTATTAAACTTAACCAGGAAAAGAGAAGCATGCCCTAAAGCCAGTCAGACAGAGTTTCAGCATAGTGAGTTCGTGTTAGGTCTTTTCTTTTAACAAGCTTAATAAACAATTACATTTTTTTGTATCATATTCCATTATTTTCTGAATGTTAATTAAAATTAATCAGACAGACTGGTTGCTGAACTGGACCATCAGCGAGGTAGAAAGGTAAAAGTATAGTGTCCTGTGCAGCAAGGGCTATTACACACCACGTAGACTCATCTGCACTATAACCCCCTGAAGTACTGGGGAGTGCAGCACATGCCAGTCTTGAAGTCCACAAGACCATCATCAGCTGGCAGGATGCCTGTGGTACTGTTTTATCAGCTTACATGGCCTCATTTCCCAAGCCCTCCTATCGTTCTTTTTCTGAGTGGCTATAGAAACCTCCAAAATCTCTACAAAATGCCTGTTCTATCATTTTTTTTTCACTGCTGTTGAGATCCATCAGACTTCAGCAAGTCTAGATCTCAGTGCAAACAGAAAATTATGTCTTACAGAGAAGCAGTGATGGGCTATGAATTGACTTTAAAGTTCACACAGTATCACATTCTGTTGGCTTTTTATTATACAAAAGCATGATTTGTCTTGATGTAATTAAAGTGACCTACCCCTTATTTCAAAGGGGACTGACTAGTTGAAGTATTCACAGAGCACAGTTGCTAGAGCTTTAACCTTTGATGTTGTTTTTCTGTAGCTCTGAGCTGTTCAGCTGAAGAGAATGAAAATTACCACAGCACAGAAACCCTTTCGAAGAAGCTCCTGGATGTTTGTCAGTTACGAAAGGATATCGATGAATTAAGGACTATAATGTCAGACCGTTATGCTCAGGACATGGGGGACAATTGCATTACTCAATGACAACATTTCACCTAGTAGCAAATGATTTATAAATGCTGCTGTGTCACAGGTCTTTGCATTTCTATTAAGGAGCCATATTGGAAGACTGAAACAGCGCCGCACACACGTCTCTGAGGATTGTGCGTGTTTAATCTCTGGAGTCTGATGGGAAGGGGAAAGTCATCATTTGAACGGAGTGGTACAAACTACAAGTAATCTTTTCTCCAAACTACTGAATGTAGGAACAAGCTGTGAAGAATGATTCAGTTGGATACTCTGTTTCTTTCATTAGGGCTCTTTTGATTACTTCAGCTAGTTTCTGGAATCAGAGCATCAAAGCCGCTGTGCTGCTACTACTCTCAGCCTTTCCTTCATCAAGGGTTTGTATGTCATTATCTGTGTTCTGAAATTAGAGCAGAGGGTTGAAGGACCTATAACTGTATGTGGTGAAGCCAGAGACTTCTGCAACTGCACTTCACTCTAGAAATTGCAATTAGAACAATCTTGGAGCACTACAAAAAGTAGTTGCTCTTCAAGTTGCCTAAAACTCTTGGAAAGATGCTTTTAGTGGTGCATATTTAGCTTGTTTGCCCAGTAGCAGAAGAAAAACTTCTTTATGCAAATTAAGTCCATAAAATACAGCACTAGCAAATTGTTTTAAGCACTCTCACGTTGCCGTAAGAAGTTTCAGTAATACGAAGTCTGTGACAAACCCAGAGAAGCTGGAAGGTGTGAAATTTGCGGCATAGTATGTGGCTGTGAGAATTTTTAAAAAAAAGACTGTATTTTAGTGTTTGTACCATACTTATTTTTACCTTAGGTCATCTCCATTTTTAGATGTGCCTGGTCTGTGTCCCATTCCTGAAGTCCTCTGGTGTGGTTGTGAACCACCTCAACCATTTTTTACCACAGCTACAAAACGGGTGTTTGGCACTTGGCAAAATCAGGGCTCAGAACAGAGTGTTTCCACTTAGCAGTATTAAGTACTCGGTTATCTGAGGACTGCAAAATTTTCCACATTGTTTGGGAATTCTTGATTTCTCTATTTTTCTAGGAAGCAATTACATTAAAAAAATAAGATCATGTTCCATAGTTTATTCAGTGAGTGTCACTTGGCAGTGCTGTTTCACTCCTGTGGGACAGATGACATACTAATACTTCTCATTTCCTGGAACATTACTGCAAGTTAGCTGCACAGTTATGCATGGCGTAAAATAGTATTTAACTGAAGGAAACAAAAACTTGCAAAGAGCAAAACCACTCTCAAATTACACTGTTAAGAAAATATATAAGCATCAGTTACATATATGGTATTAAAAGAAAGTTTCAAATTACTAAGGTGCAAGTCAGTCAACTGACCTATAGTGTGGATAACAGCAGAAATCTCTTAAAGTTTAACGGTTAGAACCAAGTAAATTCTAGGGAAATATTTTTATGGAAAAAGTGTTAGTTTTCTGATTATATTTATGTGAATGGAAAAAAATGCTATACCAGTGTAGTCTGGTTACCTGTTTTAACTTGGTGATGTTTTGCTTTCTGTTCATTGTTAGTTACCATTAATGTTGTTTTTATAATTTAGTGATTTAATATTTTTTTCTTAGTTATATGGACTTAATTTATTTGACAGTTTTCTCTATCCTGAACCTACACGTGGACTAATTTGTGAAAAATTGTGTTGCTATTTATATTATTACTACATGGTGTTTTCAGATGGATTAATCTGACTGGTTCAGCTCCTGTGAGCACTAAAACAGTGTCTAGATGAAATCTCAAGTGAAATTGCTTAGTGTCTCTACTTCAAAGTAAAAAAGGAGACTGTTTTGTTTTAAATTTCTATGCTCTTTCTGTAGGTTTGAAGGTGCGCTTTTGTACTAGTGCAAAACTGAAAACAAGGACCTCTGCAGAAATAGGCTTGCACAGTTTCCTGTGCCTCTAACAATATTGGCTTTTGAGACTAGAGCCTCAGCTTGTTCCTTTGGTGTAGTTTGCTGGTTGTGGCCCTGCAGTGAGTTAATAGTCCTCAATTTATGGCATCTGTCTTCTATCAGAATTCAACAAGTTAGCATTTAGGGAGGAAAGTGGAAACACCTAAGTTGCATTATTTCCTTACATGGAAACATTGTACCTATATTTAAAAAAAAATTTAAAAAATTACCGAACAGCATTTTTCTAAATTTGGTGGAAATAACAAGGAGTTTAATAGAGAAATTAGAGAGGAGCGGGCAACTTTTTGAGTCACTTTGAATATATAACTATGACTTGGCTGGCATGCCTCCACTATCCCTCCTGTTAAATAGTGATAACTATACTGCAGAGTTGAGATCAGTAATTTATATTTGCAAAGCACTTCAGGAGCTTTTATGCTCTTCAAGTATTAGTTGAAAGTCCCTCAGGAAGGAGGTCCCATTTTATTTGTCATACTTAGATTGCAAATGCTGTAATCTTGCATTGTAATATTTTTATTACAGAACCTGTAATATTTATGTTGACTTTAAAGCACTTGATTTTAAAAACCCCTGAGTTTATCTGCCTCAGTCAAATTAAAGTAGGGAGGTAAATGATAGATGTATGAGCCAAAGATGCAGACTACCAATTGACTGTAGTGATGCAGTATTTTGCTTTGATTTCTTTAAATTTGGCCTGTTGTAGTAGTAGCAGTTACTCTATATGCATCAGTTTACGGATGCCTCTAAATGGAATAAGCTTTGTCTACGATATGCATGATTGTTTAATTGGTTAAAATGTAGTGTGTGTGGTCTCATTCGACATATTTAATACAGAGTTGATTAATGAATGTTAACATTGGAATTGCTTAGATTTAGTCATGACAACTTTTTGCTGTAGCTATTAGACAATCTCAAGGGCTGAAAACCAACTGCTAACGAATGGATACTGTACCGTTCTGGCTGTCAGCAAATATGTACGGTAACCTTTTGTATCATTTCAGATTGAATTTATACAATCCTTTAGAAGATATTTACAGTAACTACTGTATTCAAGAATGTATTTTGAAAAAGACTTGGAAAGTAACTGTCTTTGGACAAGCTATAAATGATTCTTTGTATTTACTATATAGATGTAACGCAGCTCAGTTGTGTAAACATGATTTAGGTTGCTAGCCTCAGCTGTGCAGCTTTGTAGTGTTACAGTTGTGTGAAATTGTGGAGGTTGCTGTAACCACCCACTTGGGCTCTGGCATTCAAAACTGCTGGTGGCCGTGAAGTCATTATGAGAGCTGAAATTTCGTCCTTTTCACTTCAAAAGGTTTCCTTCCTTCCTTTGCCCTCGTTGCCTGCCTTTTGTTTCAAACAGTTTTTTGGATGTTTTTCTTGCAGGATAGGAGCACAAAGAAAGCAAGTAAGCAAATCCCTTCCTCTACAACCTGCTGCCCTAGCACAGCCAGCGATGGCACGCTGCAGTCTCTCCACGTGGGTGCAGTTTGCTCCAGTTTTCCTTTTCCTTATCAGTGATGTTACACAGGTGGAGTTGGAGGTGTAATTGGGCTCTTCTCATTGATGTGATGAGTTCTGTCATGAGTGGGGAAAAGATCTTCTGAACTAATCTGCATTCTTAGACTGCAAACAAATCAGTTGTTATTATCTAAAGGGATATTTAATTCCAATAGCTCATTAGCAATATTAATTCCACAGCTGCATACCTTTGTGCCTTTTTTGCCTGAAATAAGTGTATATTCGCCCTTGAACTTTAGATAAGTTAGGATGCTGATGACTGCACCTTGTTTTCCTCTTACCTGCCGATAGTTTGTTTATAAGCTTTTGTAGTAAGAACTCTTGCATAATGTCTAGAAACAGAAGTACTTAAACTAGGTACTAGGTGTACACTTTGAATGTTGGGCCGGTCGACGTATGCAGCTTTTTTGAAAATGAAACGTGAGCAGGAAACTCAAATCATAATGTGTTTATTTTGTGTATATTAATTACAGTATATCATTAGTTCAGTAGGGAGGAGTGTCTGGAGCTGTCTTTTAAAAGCACAGCTGACACATGTACTGGATCAGTCCCTGAAGACTGGTAGTTTTGTAAATTGGGTTCAATTTTTGAACCGCTCAGAATACCTCATATGTAAATAGAGTTGTCATGACTTAATCACAATGTGTTCATTGTAAAAAGTAAAGGAGCCACTGGCTGGCTCAGCTTTAGGCTTGTTGTTCTTGCCTCTTTTTGTAAGTTTTTTAAAAGTAGGGTTTACAGCTAGAATTTTGAATGCCAAAGTTCTATTTATTAAATAATAATAAAAGTTTTCATTGTTAATGACTGGTATTTTTCCACTGGAATTTGTTTGTTGATGTTTGGGATTTGTATTCACAGAGTAAAAATAAATTTTGTTACAAAAGTGATTTCTTCATGCTTCTCATTTGTCCAATATCTGGCATGTGACAGAAATGACCGAAGCTGGACCAAGAGCAGGAGACAAGGAAGCAATCATGAAAGATCTTCCCAACACCCACCCCAGCTTCACTTCAGTGGTCTGTAGTTCTGCTTGAATACCAGCTGACTGAGCTCTCTCCCTGGCGTTAATATTTTTTGAAAAGAAAAACAAGGCCTTGTAGCAAAAACACTCTTTTATCAGTTGAATGAAAGTATTTTAGAGCAGACTTAGAAAGTGATTTAGTTCCTTGTAAAGTCCCTGTTGTTGTCCACCTCAGATGCTCATTGGAGAGATCACAGGTCAGATTCTTAATAAGGCTAAGTTGGCACAAAATAGTAGGCAAAATTGTTATAACTAGTTTCGAAGTTGCTTGATAACTAGTTTCAAAGATTGATCAGCTTTGGAACATGTGGTTGCCCCAAAGCTGGTCACACAGGGCCAAAAAGAAAATTGGATGGTGAAACAAAAGTAGCAAGTGGGTCTGGTACCACAGAGAAAACTGGTGATCAGAAAGGACATCTGTTTTTAATTAATTATTTTCCAGATAGAAAGCACAAATGGATGGCTGGTCAGACTGAGCAGTAGTTAAAGCAGCTGGAAATCCCTGCTACGTGAAACACTGCGGATCAGTATTGTCCAACACAACCAAGCAGCATTGACTTCCCGTCCTGTCAAGTTTCTGTAGTCTGAGGAAAATTCAGAGTTTAAGGATTTCAACCAACGTATCGGGAGTCTTCACAAGTGCTGAGGGAAGTGGGGTCACCCAAGAATGGTTTCTTTTCTGACAGCTCCCTGTGCAAAATCTTACGGCCTGTTCAGAGCATCGAGGGCTGAATGAACTTTGCATGTAGAGTGGTGTTCCCCTCTTCCCCAGTATATACTGTGTTAGGCAGGCCACAAAAGTTGACACCCTCTTCTCAAAGACACTGGGACATTCACTTTCAGTAGCTAGTGCATTCTGTAAGGTAGAGATCACTTGCTTTTCTCCAGCCTTGTGACTGAACATTGGATGATGTGCTTCTAACTCGATTAAAAACATCTGTGCCCTGTATAAATGTATGTAAAGGGCTGCACAGGTGCCAACTTTCCGTAAGATTTCTGAGGGTGACCTTTTGTGAACTACTCGAAGTCAGGTTTAGGTTTCAAAGTATCACGATTAAAGCACTGCTAACAATAGTAGTGGTAGAAAATGTTCTGTTGCCTTTATGCCACAAACAAAATACAACTCCAAATGTGGATAAAAATGAAACTTTAAACAATAACACTGCACATAACACGGCAGCATCTTGAATGAGGACAACTTGCAACAGCTAAATCTGCCGAGATCGCCTACGTTATGTAAATTAATCAATTCTGCAGGATGTGCTAACTGACGCTGGGTTGTTTGTTTTGTAAATGAATGGTTTTGATATACTTGGAGGATTTCCAAGTGTCGAGGGAAAGCTATACTATGAACAACAATATTTAATTACGTTTTAGTATGTGCATATTTCTCTTCCTCCTTTGTGTGAGTTACTCCCTCTTTGGGGGCGGTTGCTGCTTTTCTCCTTCTTTTCTTGTCATAGGTCTGAATTCCATGGAGGTAAAGGCATGCTTCAAGTCATGGAGTTGGAGCCTGCTCAGTCTGTGGGGAACCTGATAGGTTCAGCTAATGCTTCGGGGCTCTTTCATGGGCGGTTTGGCAGCTCCCCTGAGGAACGCAACCCATGGGTATTAATAGACCAGAAAACTGATTTACTGGTCTGTGTGCCTGTGAAAGCATTTGCCTGGAGGAAGGCAAAAGGAAACCGTTGTCAAGTGCTGGGTGAGAAAAATGCTATCTGTTGCTGAGAGAGTGAGTTGTAACACTGAAGTTTGTGGTAAGAAGTTTCTGACTGAAAACTTCTCCTCAAAGGGCATATGAATAGAATTTAGTATCAAAAAAGCTCATCTGCCCTACATTAAAAAATGAGAGCACAGGTAGTCTCTGACTGCCAGGGAGATGCCAAACACCCCTACTCGAGCAGACGTGTTGTATTGAGCTTTGTGGCGGCCCAGGTGCTGGACCAGAGGGCATTTCGGAGCCCTGCTGCTGTCACCCTGCGCCGGGGCGAGGGACCAGCGCAGGGCCGGTTCCCCACTGCCCCGGCTCCCAGGGCTGAGCTCTGCCTCGTGGGGCTCAGGAGATGGCTGCTGGCCTTGTGGCCACAGAACTGGTCACAGTGCTCCAGCATTGGCTGGGCCAGAAGCTAGATTTTCCCAGTTTCTCAAGAAGCCGATGTGTCCTTTCCAGCATCAGGAAAACCCAGCTCACTAAGGATTTCAGCTAGCTGTGGCACAGGTGCTGCAGTTTGTTGCTTCAGTCACAGAAAACATAAACCTTATCCCTCCTATGTTAGCACACAGAGGAAGAGTCAGAGTGTGAAGCCAAATCAGTCTTTTACCTCTTCCCAGAGCTCTTGTACTGAGGTAACAGAGAAAAGTTCAGAATATCTGCAGCTGCAACTGACCGCTTTCTCTGATAAGACAGTAGTTCCTTAGACTTGTTAATGGTGTAACGATTTGCTATTAAGGAAAAAGATCCTCCGATCACTATATTTGAATGGGTTAAACTGGGGGTTTTTTGCTATTGATTCTCTGATGACAAATTGATTGCTGTTCTTTTTTTCATGACTGGTATTTATGACACCTGTGTTGAGGAGCAGGCATATTACAGAAACCAATTTGGCTGCAGTCTTGAAGTTAATGCAGTAATTGGAGCG